GACTTGGTTGACACATGTCATCGGTTCCCAATCGGACAGATCGGGAGAATTCAAGTAAGGGTTGAGTAACGTATACATAATTCACGTGGCATGTGACCGCCTCCGTGGTGTAGTGGTTAGAGCGTCCGCCCGGAGAGCGGAAGGTCGCGGGTTCGATCCCCGGCCGCGTCATACCAAAAGACGTTAAAATATGGTACTTGTTGTTCCCTGCCTGGCGCTCGGCATTAATGGGTACAACAAGGACTGGTCGGCTCGGAGTCAGTATAATGTGTCTGAGTGGGGAATTCATGCTTCACTGCGGCATGGTATCTCAGTGGGCTAGCATTATAAGACCAGCTTCAGTCTGGGCTAGTACAAGCAGCCGCACATACACAAACCCAATTTCACCTCACCTCACCGTGGCATGTTCAAGTGCGCTGTTGATATCAGCTATGAAACCGGAATAAGTCGGGTCATAAATGACCTGCACACGTACATACATAAACAGTTACCTATAAGTAGATAAAAGTAAAATAATCTTGCACCTATAAACCGACAGAACATTTATCAACCGTTTATGATCTTAGACACTTTCCCTGATGCTTAGGAAACGGACGTAAAATATATCTTACAGGCGTGCAGGTACACGTACTCTAAAAAGATACTTTTTTAAGGGACCGTTCATAATAATTATTTCTCTCTCTCTCTCTCTCTCTCTCTCTCTCTCTCTCTCTCTCTCTCTCTCTCTCTCTCTCTCTCTCTCTCTCTCTCTCTCTCTCTCTCTCTCTCTCTCTCTCTCTCTCTCGCAATCTGTACACATGCCCTGGGGAGGGGTTTATTATAACCTACGCTTAAAATTGTGGGAAGGAGGGTCATTGATTTTGCACGCACGCACACACAAACACACCAAGCCATAAATCATGATCGGTCAATGACACTGTGATCTAACAGCGCCTGTGTAGCCTAGTTTGGTTATTGTTTAACGCCGCACTCAACAGTAGTCCAGCTGGACCAGCCAATCCAGTGATTGACAGTAGTTGGGATATGATGACATGTGTCAACCAAGTCAGCAAGTCTGACCACCCGATCCCGTTAGTCGCCTCTTACAAGCATGGGTTACTGAAGATCAATTCTAACCTGGATCACATGTCCTGTATTCTACTTGTAGTAGCTCACTCACTCACTCATGTCACACACTAGGGGATGTTTCAGGTTCCTTCCCACTGAACGTTCCCACGTTTCCTGAAGCTTTCATAACAATGGGTTGTGTAGATTGTGTTTGATAGATACTAAAACTCATTGTATTAAAATAGAAATTGTGATTTCCTTCTATCTTTTCATTGTTCCGGAGCTTCACACTAAGACAAAATAACTACTGAACTAGTAGCAGGGTGGTGGCTATACCTCTGACTGAGTTATTACCACTTAAGTACCACCCTCTCATAACCCCCACAGTATTGTCATATACATTTATATATACACATTGTCATCCACTTCATCATCATCATCATCATTTCATGCTATTTGTATTATATGTTGTCCTTGTCTGCAGTTGAATGTCAGCCCACTAACATCTTCAGTCTTCAATACCCTTAGCAGCCTCTGAGTTCTCCAGCTTCACCTGGACTTCCCCTCTCTATTTTTAGACACTTCCACCACCTAATGTAACTGTCCAGCATCTGACTTCCTTTGACACCTGTCAGATGCTACCTGTATTCTGATTGGCCTTTTGGCCCCCCTCTCTGAACTTCCTTTCTCACCTGCCCTCCTCATGCATTCTGCATGAACTCTTATAGGAGGGAGGTTCTCTGTTTTCAGGTGAGAAAGATTTCAATATTCTTATCTTTCTGTACTTTGTTCTGTAAACAAATACTATTCATTAAAAGGGTATCTCACAACTTCATAGTTATAAAACATATTTAATTACAATATTATTTCATACATTTATCTAAATATTTACCAGTTACTGCATATTTTGTAACTTTGACTGAGCACATGGTCTTCAACCATGTGCTTCAGCCATTTAAACTCTATTTGGCTTACATTATACATTCTGCATGAACTCTTATAGGAGGGAGGTTCTCTGTTTTCAGCCTTCCTCCCAACTTTGAACTCAAATAAACTTCATCTTTCATCGAGAACTGCTCTTGTTATGACTAGCAGCCCAGTGGCTGGACATAACACACCACACCCGGCTACAAAATGGCGCCCAACGTGGGGCTGCTAGTCCAATCAACAACATCACTTTCACAGTGAGAGGAGGCAGTTCATCATTCATCTCATTTCAACTTCAAGAGTTCATGCAGTCTCAAGAATAATTCCAAACCTTCCTGGATGGACTTCTAGTCATTCAGACTAATTCTGTGATGTGTTTGGGATTCACAAGTTGTAAATTTTTAAGCTTGTGACATTTTGGATATTTTGTGTGTATCACATTCAGGACTTGAACTGTTTTAACAGAACCTGAAAACAGACATTGGTGATACAAATATATGACATTGTATTTTTATATTCATATATATTCCAGACTGCAATATCACCATTGCAACAGTATCCTGTGATATATATATTATATTTACATTCTGGAATTTATAATCACTGATTTTACAGATTGACTTTTGTACAAATTCTATTTCTTCAACATTTCTATGTCTACCATGTTTATCTAAATCATATATGTATATTTCAATTTAATTCTTATTCATCTCAACCTCATCAACAAAGTTGTTCCAGTAATATAATTTAAGAGTTCATTTCTATTCAAAATTTCTCCACTGTTTACTTTTAATTGTAGCTGGTAATTATTTGATTTGGTTTCTAAATATATTTTTCAAATTATCCTACAGTTAACTTAAACAGTTCAATTTTCAAAATCAAAAATATTTTTTCATTTTAATAAGTTTATACTTGTGTTGATACCCTTCTTACATACCTTATCAGTATCAAACTCTATCCTCAGTACTTCTTTTTCCTAGCTGTTTCTGACGTCTATCCTTCAGTGTGGAAGTATCTCTTTTCAGCAAACCACTAACATTTACTATGAATATTTTGTCTTGTCTTGTGTTGTTTCTTCATTTCATCATACATCATCTCCCATTATAATCTTCATCCATATCACTTGTACTGTTCTTCAGATTTCCACACACTGTCTGTGGTTGTCTGGTTACCAGTACTTATATTGTTGTGACATTGCTCTTTGGGGTTGTTTGTTTTTGTTTGTTCCCCTTAGATGGTTTACAACCCATATCAATTCTTCCATCTTGTATCCTAGTTGTTGTAGGAGCCTGCACATTGTTTCCTGATATTTAGGAGTTTTGCACTTGAATATCACCTCTCATATAATTAGCCATTTCTGGTTGGGACCCAACTCAACAGTTAGTTAAGTCTTGTTGCCTTTTTGGAGGTTTCTCGTCTACATTTCACATTGTTCATACATTATGGCCACGTCGGACAGTGATTTTCAATCACAGGTAGATGAAGTTGTGGAATTAATCCATCAACTTAATCCCATTGTCCGTACTAGTATACTCTCCCGCCTAGCAGATGACGTTAATCCACATCAGCCTCAGACTACCTTTACAGCTGATGTGGCGTCTGGGGATTTGTTGGCTCGGCCACATGTGCCTCCACCTCCACCCCCAGGTGATAGCCCAAGGCTTGTCCGTCCGCCACAGGGGCCATCATCTCTGCTATTGCATACCCCACTGGGATCCCCTTTGTTACCTCACATACCTACGGGGCCTTCCCAGCTGGGTACACAACCACAAGACCCTAGTCCTAGGTTAGACTTGCCTTATTCTCTACCTAGGCCCTACGGGTCCCTATTTAGTTACAACCTACCAATAGGTTCAAGTACACCTTACCCACAACACTCACGTGTCATAACACATCCAACTAGGGCACCCTATGAGGCCTGGCCTAATAGACATGTACCCATGCCTTTGCCATACCCTGGGTACAGTTCCACTGCCCAGCCTAGTCAGCTCAGGGCAACCCCGCGTTCCACCATGCCAATGCCAATACTTCATGCACCAAGTCCCCGTTTGTCAACATTTTCTGGGGATGGGGAAAGGTGATGTAAAGTATAGTCAGTGGCGCCTTGAAATATTGGGATGTCGACGTGAGAATGTTTACTCTGACACCGCAATATTCAATGCTATGCGGAGGTCAGCCAAGGGTTCTGCTGCAGATCTTCTCAGTGGCTTCTCTACTGAAGCAACACTTGATTCTGCACTGGAGCAGTTGGACATTGTCTTTGGTAATGTGATGCCAGGTGAGACGCTTATGGAGCGTTTTTATACAGCTCGCCAGGATATAAACGAGTCTGTTGCAGCTTGGAGTTGTAGACTTCGTGATTTAATATCAAAGATCGAAGCCTCAGGAATGCTCCCACCAAATGCTGCCATGAACTTACTTCGAAGTCGTTTCTGGATGGGGTTGTCCAAGGATGCTTTGAAGCAGGCGACTCGTCATCACTTCGACTCTGGTCTTGAATACAGTCAACTGCTGCTTGCTGTACGACGGGTAGAGGAGGAACTATTTACCCCTAAGGAGGCACATCTGTACCCTGTTACCACTCCTGTACCACGTGGTCGGGAGATGGAGGAAGTGCTCTCTAGACTTAAGGACATTGATAAAAGTCTTAAGTCTATGGGTGATAAAGTTCACTCTCTTGAGCGAAGTTCTGCTCAAGCCTCCTCATCCAAACCACCCACCAGTCGTCAAGGCCAAGCTCCGCCTAAAAGTGCCCAGATAAACAAACCCATATTAAAGCAGGTTGGTGATAGACCCCTTCCACAAAGGTCATCAGTTTTCTGTTTTGATTGTGGGAAGCCAGGGCTTAAAAGGGGCCACCAGCATTGTCCGGCTTTAAACTCGTAAGAGTCCCAGCTGTGGAGCGAACTGAGGACTCGGAGCCAAGCTCTAAACAAAATGTGCCTTCCAGTTTAGTTGGCCACCCAAACATTGCACATGTGAAGGTAGAGGGGCATACCTGCAAAGTTTTGATAGATACTGGTTCAATGGTCACCACTATCTCTGAAAACTTTTACAGAGCCTACCTCCCTCACTTGCCACTTAACCAAATCAGCTCTTTACTAGAGGTGCATGGAGCTGGGGGTGTCAAGCTACCTTATTTGGGGTATGTTGAGACTGTCATTGCTATACCCCCTGACTTTATGGGTCAAGTAGTTGAAGTACCTGCACTGGTTCTTGTAGTGCCCACTACAGACTTCACCTCTAAGGTTCCACTTATCCTTGGGACCAATGTCCTGCGTGCTGCTTGTGAAAGCAACCCTGGTGACAGGGTATCTGGGAGTTCTTCTCCTTGGACCATGGCTATCCAGTGGCTCTGTAGGCGTTGGAATGACCTTAACAGAACTGAGAATGTGCGGACTACGAAAGCTATCACAATACCCCCGTCTTGTAACCAGATTATTACCGGCATTTGCAGGGGTCATGCTCCACAGATTGGTATGGAGTTTTGTGCCACACAGTCCGTACTTCCTGGTTCACTTACACTTGTTATTGGCGTTGTTGGATTTCAGTCCAGCCACTCCACCACACGAGTCAAGGTTGAGGTTACTAACCCGTCCACAAAGGCTGTTACAATTCCAGCCAAAACAGTACTTTGTCACTTGGAACAAGTTGCTGTATTGGACGGCTTATTCTCTGAGGATGATGTCCCTCATATTGGTTCTAAACCTACCAAACTACCAAAAGAGTTATTTGATCTGGACTCTCTGAGTGATACTCACTCACCGGAGGAAATAACTCAGTTGCGCTCTCTACTGAATGAGTTTGACGATGTGTTTAGCAAGTCTGATATGGACATGGGACATACTGACTTGGTCACCCATCGAATAGAACTCACAGATGAGACTCCATTTAAGGAAAGACATAGACGTATTCCACCCTCAATGTATCAAGAGGTCAAGGACCATATAAAGCAAATGTTGGATGCAAAAGTTATCCGTCCATCTGCTAGTCCATATGCCTCACCCGTTGTATTGGTACGCAAACGTGACTCGACTCTGCGCTTCTGTATCGATTATCGAAAATTGAACAGTCGCACAGTTCGAGATTCCTATGCTCTACCACGGATAGAGGAAACTCTTGATGCATTACATGGGGCAAAATACTTCTCTTGTCTTGATCTTAAGAGTGGATATTGGCAAGTCGAAGTAGACGAGGAGCATAAGGCCCGTACTGCCTTCACCGTTGGCCCACTTGGGTTTTACGAGTGTAACTCGATGCCTTTTGGACTAACAAATGCTCCGGCTACTTTCCAACGCCTGATGGAGAGGTGTATGGGCGACATTCATCTTCTTCAATGCCTTATCTATCTCGATGACATCATTGTGTTCTCTAAGACCTTTGATGAGCATCTTGAGATTACGAGCAATCTTTCAAAGATTGCGCAAGAATGGGCTCAAGCTTAAGCCATCAAAATGCCAATTCTTGCAGACCTCCATTAAATATCTAGGTCACGTAATCTCTGAAGAGGGTATCAAAACAGACCCTGAGAAGATAGAGGTATTGAAGAACTGGCCAGTTCCACGTAGTGTCGACGATATACGTCGTTTTCTTGGATTCTCCGGCTACTTTAGGCGTTTTGTACCAGATTATGCTAAAGTTGCCAAGCCATTGACTAATTTGCTTGCTGGTCATGGTGGGAGGTCCAAACGTAAGAGCAAGTCTAGTCAACCATTTGTATGGGGGATGCTCAACAGTCAGCTTTCAGTGAGCTTATTAGCAGGCTTTCTTGTGCTCCCGTTTTGGCTTTTGCTGATTTCACTCTGCCCTTTGAATTGCACACTGATGCAAGTGGGGATGGCTTGGGTGCAGTACTGTACCAGTACCAAGAAAATCAAAGGCGAGTGATTGCTTATGCAAGTCGCAGTCTCAGCAAAGCCGAGCGCAATTACCCTGCTCATAAGTTAGAGTTTCTGGCTCTAAAGTGGGCTGTCACCAAGAAGTTTCATGACTACTTGTATGGCAACTCATTCACTGTGAAGACTGACAATAATCCCCTTACTTACGTTCTAACTTCTGCTAAGTTAGATGCAACTGGACATCGCTGGCTCGCAGAACTTGCCACCTATGACTTCTCACTTGAGTATGTTCCCGGTGCAAGGAATGTCGATGCAGATGCTTTGTCCAGGTTACCTCGGGAGTCCATGGACATACAAACTGTGTCTGCTGTTTGTAATGGACAACTTGTCCCATCATGCGCTGTGGAGACACTCTCCCTCAATCAGGAGGTGATGAGTTGCATGTTGGCGGTCGATGGTATGGCAACCTCTGATGTTGCTAACCAACGGATGAAATTATATCAGCAAGCTGATTCCTCAATCTGCTCGATTTTGGATTCCATCCGTAATGGTAAACGCCCTAACAAGGAGGCTCTCAAATCCATGGATCGAGACACTGCAGCCATTCTCCGTCAGTGGGATTCACTTGCTGTCAAAGATGGCCTTCTCCACAGGCAACAACACACAGATGTTGGAGCACCCTACTATCAAGTGATTGTTCCCCAGTCTAAAAGAGATGAGGTCATTACCCATCTACATGACGGCATGGGACATCTTGGTAGGGACAGGACCGTGGCACTTCTTCGGACTCGGTTTTATTGGCCGGGAATGATTACGGATGTGGAGAAAAGGATTCGTAGCTGCCAGAGGTGTATTCTACGTAAAGCTCCTAACCAAACTGAGCGTGCACAGTTAGTAAGCATCAAAACCACTCAACCCATGGAGTTGGTGTGCATCGATTATCTCAGCTTGGAGGCCTCCTCTGGTGGTTATGAGAATGTCCTGGTCATAACGGACCATTTCACCAAATATGCTGTTGCCGTTCCAACGCGCAACCAAACGGCACGTACCACAGCCAAAGTACTGTTTGATCACTTCATTGTTCACTATGGCATTCCAGAGAAGTTGCACTCTGATCAGGGCCGGAACTTTGAAAGTGACATCATCAAACAGCTGTGCAGCATACTGGGCATTCTCAAAACACGAACCACTCCGTATCATCCGATGGGTAATGGTTTATGTGAGCGGTTTAATCGGACGCTCTTAGGGATGCTCGGCACTCTTGAGGAACAGCAAAAAGGCAAAGTGGAAAGACCATATTTCTCACTTAGTGCATGCCTATAACTGTTCTCTCCATGAGTCTACCGGGTTCACTCCCTACTTCCTCATGTTTGGCAGACATCCTAGGCTGCCTGTTGACGTGGCATTTGGCACATCACTGGCCAATATTTCATCACCAACTCATACGCAGTTTGCTGCTGATCTTGAGCGCAAATTACACACTGCGTATGAGCTTGCTGCTGCAAACCTTGAAAGGGCACGGGCTAAACAGCGTAAAGCCTATAACCTTAAGGCACGTGGAGCCACAATCAAGGTTGGTGATGTTGTATTGGTGCGCAACGTCAACATACGTGGGAAGCAAAAGCTGGCCAATCTTTGGGAAGATGAGTATTATGTTGTTGAGTCTCAACCTCACGCCGACATTCCTGTGTTTAAAGTCTGCAAGGAAGGGACCAGAGAATGTCGTGTACTTCATCGTAATTTGCTCCTTCCCATTGGTACAGATGGCCAGCCCATACCCAGGCCACGGCGCTCACCATCAACTACCAGGCTTTCAACAACATCATCTGGCGAACTCAACGACACAGGTGCCGATGCAACACTGGAAATCTCAACAACCGACATGGGTCTTGAGAATACTTTGTCTCCAGTATCGGTACCATCCCCTGTGTCGCCGCTGCCTTTAGTCAGCTCGCCACCAGCAAGTACTTCACTTGTACCAGCACCATCCACACCAGCACCAACCACACCAGCACCAACCAGTCCGATCCCTGGCTCAGTATCGTCCACTCCCCAGCCATTACCTCGGCGAGTCGGACGTAACCGCACAAAGCCAAAATGGATGACTGATGGACAATTTGTTGTACAACAAAGTGTTTGGGTGTGAGGGTGTTTTGCTACAGTGTCACTTTTCAATGGCGAGGTCGCCATTTCCCAAAGAGGGGGTGTATGTAGCAGGGTGGTGGCTATACCTCTGACTGAGTTATTACCACTTAAGTACCACCCTCTCATAACCCCCCACAGTATTGTCATATACATTTATATATACACATTGTCATCCACATCATCATCATCATCATTTCATGCTATTTGTATTATATGTTGTCCTTGTCTGCAGTTGAATGTCAGCCCACTAACATCTTCAGTCTTCAATACCCTTAGCAGCCTCTGAGTTCTCCAGCTTCACCTGGACTTCCCCTTCTCTATTTTTAGACACTTCCACCACCTAATGTAACTGTCCAGCATCTGACTTCCTTTGACACCTGTCAGATGCTACCTGTATTCTGATTGGCCTTTTGGCCCCCCTCTCTGAACTTCCTTTCTCACCTGCCCTCCTCATGCATTCTGCATGAACTCTTATAGGAGGGAGGTTCTCTGTTTTCAGGTGAGAAAGATTTCAATATTCTTATCTTTCTGTACTTTGTTCTGTAAACAAATACTATTCATTAAAAGGGTATCTCACAACTTCATAGTTATAAAACATATTTAATTACAATATTATTTCATACATTTATCTAAATATTTACCAGTTACTGCATATTTTGTAACTTTGACTGAGCACATGGTCTTCAACCATGTGCTTCAGCCATTTAAACTCTATTTGGCTTACATTATACATTCTGCATGAACTCTTATAGGAGGGAGGTTCTCTGTTTTCAGCCTTCCTCCCAACTTTGAACTCAAATAAACTTCATCTTTCATCGAGAACTGCTCTTGTTATGACTAGCAGCCCAGTGGCTGGACATAACACACCACACCCGGCTACAGCATGGAGTTTTGCACCTAAGGACGGGAAGTTCGAGGATCCTGGGTGGAACGTGCACAGGTGGTTTGAAGATACATGTACAGCCATTCGTCTCATTCCCGGCGAGTAACACCTTTACCCTACCGGTGACGTCTGTGACACCATGTGCATGCAGCCTTAAACAAGTATCCGAAAACCTTCCCTGTGACCCCAAATGTGAGTGAGTGAGGTTTTACGCCGCTCTTATAATGTTCCAGCAATATCACGGCGGGGAACACCAGAAATGGGCTTCACACATTGTACCGATGTGGGGAATCGAAAACGGGTGACAAGTGACGAGCGAAAGCTTTTACCACTAGGTTACCCCACCGCCCCTCACCCCAAATATGACCCATGAAGGTCCGGGTTAGAATGTTGGTCTTCAGAAACCCATGCTTGTGGTAAGAAGCGACTAACGGGATTGGGTGGTCACGTGTCATCGTATCCCAATTGGACAGATCGGCTCGGAGTCCGTATAATCTGTGAGTAACGTATACATAATTCACTGTGGCATGTGACCGCCTCCGTGGTGTAGTGGTTAGAGCGTCCGCCCGGAGAGCGGAAGGTCGCGGGTTCGATCCCCGACCGCGTCATACCAAAAGACGTAAAAATATGGTACTTGTTGGTCCCTGCCTGGCGCTCGGCATCAGTGGGTACAACAAGGACTGGTCGGAGTCAGTATAATGTGTGTGAGTGGGGTATTCATGCTTCACTGCGGCACGGTATCGCAGTGGGCTAGCACTATAAGACCAGCTTCAGTCTGGGCTAGTACAAGCAGCCGCACATACACAAACCCAATTTCACCTCACCTCACCGTGGCATGTTCAAGTGCGCTGTTGATATCAGCTATGAAACCGGAATAAGTCGGGTCATAAGTGACCTGCAGAAAAACATACATAAACAGTTACCTATAAGTAGATAGAAGTAAAATAATCTTGTACCTATAAACCGACAGAACATTTATCAACCGTTTATGATCTTAGACACTTTCCCTGATGCTTAGGAAACGGACGTAAAATATATGGACAGAAGGAAATATATGTTTTCGTTTTTAACTTGGGTCAGCGCGCCCGAATACACCCGTCGCTATGCGTATATGCACGTGGGTTTTAAAATCTCGTGCATTTCGTGGGGATAGCTGACGACAGCGTTAATCAGTTTAACATCGGCAGTTAGTCAGACATATTGTTGAGGGACAGGATCGTCCATATCGAGCTCCAGCCAGGAGTTACAAATTAGATTGCTTCCATTATCGGGAAGCATAGAAGCTTAGTAACATTCACACTTTCGGTGAATGTACAGTGCGGGGATTTTCATTGGGTTTACTGTTTTGTTTCGTTTTTGGTGTATTAAATGTTCAGACATAATTATTTTGACTTTTCGTTTATTTTATAAATGGGGAATACGAACTGCCTCATTCCCATATGGTAGCAGAGCGTGGTTTCAAGCGGTAAGTCAATTAATCAAGCGGTAAGTCAATTAATCGGTTATGTCTGACATACAGGAAAAAGGCTCTGTAAATCATGGTCAGTTAAAACCCCAAGAACCAAACGGGTCTCAGTCACAACTCGAGGGCATTTTGAAACTGAAACAACAAAAAACCAATGCAAAGTCAGCCTTCACCAAAGCTAAAAATAAGTTGTACAGTCTACTAGAATCACCTAATCAACCATCTCGTACAGACATAAGAGATGGTGTAGATAAAGTAAATGAAAGTCAGGTGAAAGCAATCAATGTTATGACAAAACTGGCCTTAGCGTATGCAAAGAATCAGCAGGGTGAAAATGTTACTAAAACTGAAAAAGAAATTAGTCATCTGGAAGATGAAACTAATGCTGTAGTTGAACAGGCGCAAGCTCACTTAGATAGTAATGCAGATGCAACGTCTACGTCAAGTAAAGGGACTTTCTAGATTGTTTAAATCTCAGCAACAATCTGCAGAAGGTGAACCAAGTGTTCACAACAAAGTAACTGATAAACCTTGTGTTCAAAGCAAACAGAAAAGCACACCTTGTTATGTAGCAGAGTCGCACAGTCATGCAATAGGAACTGATTTATGGAAACAACTTAAACGTGTTTCAATCCCAGTATTTTCTGGTGATGTAAAATCTTACGAAAGTTGGAAAGCTGCGTTTCTGACATGCATAGACCAAGCACCAGCGACTGCTGAATATAAGTTATTGCAGCTGAGGCAATATCTGGCTGGTGACGCGTTGAAAGCAATTCAAGGTTTGGGACATAGTGCTTTGGCCTATGATACTGCGTTAGAACGTCTAGATAGGAAGTATGGTGGTAGGAGGCGTCAAGTAGCGTTACAGTTAGAAGAAGTGACTAATTTGAAGCCTATTCGTCCAGGCTCTGCTAGAGATGTTCAAATATTTGCCGATGTCTTGGACATTGCAGTCGTTAGTCTGAGAGAAGCAGATAGAGTAGAAGAGCTAGGTAATGGGTTATTGTATGCCACACTACAAAAGAAAATGACTGAATCTATGGTAGCTCAGTACCAAAGGTGGCTTCATGATAGAGATAGACAAGAGTCAGTCGAGACGTTAAGAGAATGGGTACTTCAGGAAGCTGAATACCAAACAATAGCTGCAGAGACAATACATGGTGTTTCTGATAAGAGTAAAAGAAAAGAATCATGCTCGTTTGTCAGTACCATAGGACAAAGTAGTAGGTCACGAGGGGATGTTGTATGCAAAGTTTGTGGTGAACAGCATGTGTTATGGAAATGTAATGTGTTTAAAAACATGAGCGTTTCCGAGAGATGGAACACTGCTAAGAAATTGAAATTATGTTTCCGCTGTCTTGGTGGCAATCATCGTGGTGCACAATGTAGATACACATATAGCCAAATGACTATGATATGGCACTCCGTAGGTTGCTTAGCACTGAAAAGAAATTATCCAAAGACAAGAACACAGCACTAGCTTATGACAAAATCATCTCGCAGTATGTTGAGAAAGGATACATCCGTAAAGTAGATCATGAGGAATCAAGAGAAAATGTGTGGTATCTTCCTCATTTCCCCATCTTGCGCCCAGATAAAGCCACAACAAAAGTCCGTATAGTTTTTGATGCTTCGGCAAAGTACAAAGACACATCATTGAATGACGTAATAAGTCCAGGTCCGAAGCTTCATAGTGACCTCTTTGATGTGCTGATACGGTTCAGAAGAAAACCGGTAGCTCTCATTTGTGATATCGCAGAGATGTTCTTGCAGATCAAAATATCACCAGAAGATAGACCATACCACAGATTTCTCTGGAGATCTATGAATACAGATTCACCTCCTGAGGTGTATGAGTTCAGTCGTGTTGTATTTGGAAACACCTCTTCTCCTTTCCTGGCTCAGTTTGTAACCCAGGAACATGCTAAGACACATACTGTAGACCTTCCTCTGGCTGCAGAAACTGTCATGAAATCCACCTATATGGATGACAGCATGGACTCAGTAGAGAATGCCAATGAAGGCATAGAACTGTACAACCAGTTAACTCAGTTATGGTCTAGTGCTTCAATGCATGCTCGAAAATGGTTGTCCAATTCACTTAAAGTCCTAGATAACATTCCTGAAGAAGATAGAGCTTCTGAAATAGATCTTTCTAAGGGTCATTTGCCTTCGGTAAAAGCCCTCGGGCTAATGTGGATTGCCGAAAAAGATATTTTCACATTCAAAGCGGGAACATATATTCAACAAGAATCCACCAAAAGAGGTTTTCTTAGGCAAATTGCAAGACTGTTTGATCCGCTAGGATTCATAGGACCATTCATCATCACTGCAAAGATACTATTACAAGAAATGTGGTTAACGGGACATGACTGGGATGATGAACTGCCCCAACACCTGCAACAGAAAATAGCAAAATGGTTAGTACAATTGCAAGAAATAAAAGCTGTTCAGGTGCCAAGATGTTTGCGTCTTGACGCTGAGGTTTGTTCAGTATCTATTCACACCTTTGTTGATGCATCACAGGATGCATACGGAACTGTTGTATACTCCGTTTATACTTACCTGGACGGGAAGAAGTCTAGCAGGATAGTTGCTGCAAAATGTCGTGTAGCTCCGTTGAAAGCTTGTAGCATACCACGCCTTGAACTGATGGCAGCTGTACTTGGTCTTAGACTTACCTGTGAAGTTGTCAAGATCCTTAAGATTGAGATTTGAAACAGTTACTTTCTGGTCAGACAGCATGAATGTCTTGTGCTGGATTAAAAACAACAGTCGTACTTTCAAACCTTTTGTTGCCAACAGAGTTGGTGAAATACACAGTATCACAAACCCAACTCAGTGGCGACACATACCTTCTGCAGAAAATCCTGCAGATCTTCTGACAAGAGGTGTGCTGGTTTCTAGTTTGATAAACAACCAGTTGTGGTGGTCTGGACCTACTTTTCTGCTAAGAGCGGAATGTGAATGGCCATCAAACAAAACATTGTCGCTTGACATCTTAAAGGATGACAAAGAAAGAAAAACTAGCAAGAAGCAGGTTGCTCTAGTTGCAATACAGAAACCTGATCTTGAGATGAGCAGACTTGCACCTTCAAAATTCTCCAGCTGGAGAAAACTCACACGTATCAATGCCTTGGTATACAGATTCTTACATAACTGTTCCACTTCAGGTGAATACAGAATGAAAGGTGAACTTACAGCAGAAGAAATAGCAGACTCTGAACACAGAGTCATTGCCCGTGCACAGGAGGATTCATTTTCAGTAGAATATGCTGCTTTGCTATCAGGAAAGATGTTGCCTTCCAGTTCTAAAATCCTTACACTTCAGCCACAACTAGATGAAAATGGAGTCATGAGAATGAGTGGGCGCCTAGGTGATGCTGAATGTTTGCTTCTTGGAGCAAGATTTCCCATAATTCTGCCTCGCAAAAGTTGGGTGACAAAGCTCATAATAAAACAGTATCACGAGGATGGTAAACATGTACTGGGAACAAACCAGACGTTGGCTGCTGTGTCGGGCACGTACTGGATTATCTCAGGACGAGAAGCTATACGAGAATGGGAGAAGGAATGTGCTAAATGTCATAGGGACAAAGCAAGACCTGCTTGTCCACTGATGGCACCATTACCGAAAATGAGACTCCAAAAGTCACTCCGTGCATTCAGCCAGACTGGAGTGGATTATGCTGGACCATTTATCACAGTGCAAGGCAGAGGAAAGGCACGTCAAAAACGTTATTTATGTTTATTCACATGTTTAACGTCTCGAGCCGTTCACCTGGAGATGGCATATAGCTTGGACACAAGTGCATTCCTAAATGCTTTCTACAGAATGGTAAATCGAAGAGGCCTACCACAAGAGGTCATATCGGACAACGGAACCAACTTTGTTGGTGCCGTTAAAGAACTCAAGGAACTTTTTCGCAATCTGGATCAAGACGCTGTTCAACGTTCCCTGGCTAATCGAGGAGTGAAATGGCACTTCAACCCTCCATACTCGCCACACTTTGGAGGGGTATTCGAGACGATGATAAAATCGGCTAAACGTGCCATCTTCGCTATCCTGGGGAATGGTGATGTCACAGACGAGGAACTGGAAACTGCATTTACTGGAGCTGAAGCCCTGATCAACTCGCGTCCTCTCACCTATCAGTCGACTCATCCCCAAGATGTGATTCCACTGACACCGAATCACTTCCTGCACGGCCAGATCGGAGGGATATTTGCTCCAGAATCCGTGGACACTACAGATTACCATCCACGAAAACGCTGGAGACGTATTCAAGAATTGATGAGACACTTTTGGAAGCGCTGGATGAAGGAATGGCTCCCAAGTCTGAACCCAAGACGGAAATGGAGAACTCCAAGCAGAGACCTGTGTGCCAACGATGTTGTTCTTGTGATTTCTCCGGACACACCACGAGGACAGTGGCCCCTTGGCAGGATTGTGAAGACATATCCAGGACGAGATGGACATGTTCGTGTGGTGGATGTACGAATCGGACAATCAGTGATTACCAGGCCAGCAAACAAGATCTGTCCACTGGAGTGGTCAACTGAGAATTGTGATACAGATTTGTGACGTTGGATACATCGGATACAGCGACTTTCGATACATCGGATACAGCGACTTTCGATACATCGGATACAGCGACTTTCGATACATCGGATACAGCGACTTTCGATACATCGGATACAGCGACTTTCGATACATCGGATACAGCGACTTCGGATACAGCAACTTGGATTCTGTGACTCGGATTCTGTGGATTCTGGAACGTCGGATTATGTGAAACGGGATTCTGTGAAGACATTGGGTTCTGTGGATTGTGTGACATTGGATTATGTGACATCAAGATTGACACTGAACTGTGAACTGGGAGTCTTGAACTTTGACTGTGAACTGTTATATGAACTGTTTGTGACATTATATAACTTGTTATGAACATTGTGGGATATTTGAGGATTAATGGATTATATTGATTTCAGCTCGTAAGTATGGAAGTATTCAATTTCAGTTTATTGCAGATGCTAGAGGTGTTAGCATTGTATTAGTATTGATTGAATTGTTTGTATTGTGTTGACAGGAGTCTGTCAAGGAGAGGGGTATGGACAGAAGGAAATATATGTTTTCGTTTTTAACTTGGGTCAGCGCGCCCGAATACACCCGTCGCTATGCGTATATGCACGTGGGTTTTAAAATCTCGTGCATTTCGTGGGGATAGCTGACGACAGCGTTAATCAGTTTAACATCGGCAGTTAGTCAGACATATTGTTGAGGGACAGGGTCGTCCATATCGAGCTCCAGCCAGGAGTTACAAATTAGATTGCTTCCATTAGATTTACTGTTTTGTTTCGTTTTTGGTGTATTAAATGTTCAGACATAATTATTTTGACTTTTCGTTTATTTTATAAATGGGGAATACTGAACTCGAATCTCTCTCTCTCTCTCTCTCTCTCTCTCTCTCTCTCTCTCTCTCTCTCTCTCTCTCTCTCAGAGCAATCTGTACACATGCCCTGGGGAGGGGTTTGTACATAACGGTATAAAACAAATTACGCTTAAAAATTGTGGGAAGGAGGGTCATTGATTTTGTACATGTCATGCATGGGGGGTCATTTACTTTGTACATAAATTTTAGGGGGGTCATTCACATTGTACATGCTTCTCCATAAAAATCATCACACGCACACGCGCACGCACGCACACACAACCACACCAAGCCATAAATCATGATCGGTCAATGACACTGTGATCTAACAGCGCCTGTGTAGCCTAGTTTGGTTATTGTTTAACGCCGCACTCAACAGTAGTCCAGCTGGACCAGCCAATCCAGTGATTGACAGTAGTTGGGATATGATGACATGTGTCAACCAAGTCAGCAAGTCTGACCACCCGATCCCGTTAGTCGCCTCTTACAAGCATGGGTTACTGAAGATCAATTCTAACCTGGATCACATGTCCTGTATTCTACTTGTAGTAGCTCACTCACTCACTCATGTCACACACTAGGGGATGTTTCAGGTTCCTTCCCACTGAACGTTCCCACGTTTCCTGAAGCTTTCATAACAATGGGTTGTGTAGATTGTGTTTGATAGATACTAAAACTCATTGTATTAAAATAGAAATTGTGATTTCCTTCTATCTTTTCATTGTTCCGGAGCTTCACACTAAGACAAAAATAACTACTGAACTAGAAATCTGATGTTGATGAGTCAGTCGCCGGTCTGTTATCAACATATTATGCATTGTTTACATTATTTTCATTGTTGTTGTTGTTGTTGTTGTTGTTGTTGTTGTTCAGGTGATAGGCAGGACAGGGGACAACTTCCAGGTTGTTTTAACTCCGATGGCCACTATATAGTACACTATTTGCATTATTTACCCGTGAAGGTCCGGGTTAGAATATTGATCTTCAGTAACCCATGCTTGTCGTAAGAGGCGACTAACGGGATCGGGTGGTCAGACTCGCTGACTTGGTTGACACATGTCATCGGTTCCCATTTGCGCAGATCGATGCTCATGCTGTTGATCACTGGATTGTCTGGTCCAGACTCGATTATTTACAGGCCGCCGCCATATCGCTAGAATATTGCTGAGTGCGGCGTAAAATTAAACTCTCTCACACGCTATTTGCGTTAGTGTTGTGGATGTTGCTGGTAAGCAGGACCATCGACGACTTTCAACTTGTCCCTGCCGATTTCCACTTCTTTACGGTTGCACAGGAAGATCCATACTTCCCTTCTCTCGTATTTGTAACCTAACCTATCACAGCACATTGCTCAGGTTTGTACAGTTTCCAAAGGTCACAGACCCATGCTTACTTTCCTGACATGATTCAGCGAAACAAGATGCTCAGTGACAGTGACGATAGGTTTATGCCGCTTTTAGCAATATTCCAGCAAAATCACAGCGGGGGCACCTGAAATGGGTTTCACACATTGTACACAAGTGGGGAATCGAACCTGTGTCTTATGCGCGACGAGCGAACGCTTCAACCACTAGGATACCCCACCTCCCCTCACAGCTAGGAGACAAGATATGGGCTTCACACATTGTACACAAGTGGGGAATCGAACCTGGGCATTTGGCATGGCGAGCGAACGCTTTAACCACTAGGCTACGCACACTCAGCAGCCCCGACATACAGCAAAACTGACACATACGATGAACGGATGAGCGGACGTATTAACGACATCCGCTGCATCTCACATGGACAAACACGGGTTTGTCGATTCAGTATCTTCTTTGTGTGTGCATGTGATCGAGTGCATGTCCCCTTTTCAGACACTTTACGTGTTAAATGCGCCTTCAACATCCGCATTTTTATGAACTATATTATTTGTTAATAACTATATATAGCGTGTATTGTGACTAAACGTTTTTAAGAAGGCATGTGCTCCATCACGAGTTTACATCCGGGGAGGGCGATGTGCCCCGCCATCAGCAGACAGACAGTCGTGTAGATATAGTACATCGTCACATGTTGATGTAACCTTGTCGGATCAATTTGGTTTTGTTGCATTTATTACATTTTGTGTTAGTGAGCAATTTATCGGTCTCAAATGAAATCAAACAGACTGTATGTTTAACAGTTTTTTCGAAGGGACGCTCTCTGGAGGTGAGATAGCCTAGTGGTTTAAGCGTTATAGCTCGTCGAGTCACGCCGTTGTCCAGAGTTCGATTCCCCATATGGGTACAATGTGTGAAGCCCATTTCTGGTGTCCCCGCCCTGATATTGCTGGAATATTGCCAAAAGCGGCGTACAAATTTACTAATCTACTATACTGGTGGCTGGGCTACCTAAAAGCCCATGTACAACTGATTATAATACATAGTGACATCGTACCCCGACGACGTGATTGCTTCACACGTGGGCGGGGCGGTCGGGTAGCCTAGTGGTTAAAGCGTTGGTTCGTCACGCCGAAGACCCGGGTTCGATTCCCCACATGGGCACAATGTGTTAAGCCCATTTCTGGTGTCCCCCGCCGTGATATTACTGGAATATTGCTAAAAGCGGCGTAAAACTAAACTCAGTCAGTCAGTCAGTCACACGTGGGCATCGAACCCGAACCTAGGTGCAACGGGTGAGTGAGTGTGTTTAGTTTACGATGCTTTTAGCAATATTCCAGCAACATCACGGCGGGGGACACCACAAATGGGCTTCATACATTGTACCCATGTGGGGAATCGAACCCGGATCTTCGGCGTGACGAGCGAACGCTTTAACCACGAGGCTACCCCAACTACCAGTTTTGAAAAGCACATGATAAGCACAATTAACGCCATGTGAGGCGACTAACGTAGATCGATGTTCATGATGTCAATCACTGGATTGTCTGGTCCAGACTCCATTATTTACAGACCGCCGCCTTAGAGCTGAAAATTTGCTGAGTGTGGAGTTATACAACAAACATATGGATTGAAAGCTCACTGAGGCAGTTGGAGGATGCTGATCCTCGCTTGAACTCGAATCCTGTCAAAACCAAGGGAAACAACCCACATTGGGACTGTACGTTAATCCACGCTTCTTGAAACCTACACGTGTCTGGACCCAGTGGTCACATATTTCGCTTTATAACGAGGTGTTTCAGTCACAGCGCGGTCAATCAGACATTCAATATATGCCGAAACAGGCTTGGTAATTATACCGCTTGACATAGTTACACATACACCACAATAACAACACCGACTACTACAGCCCTTAGTTATCGTTGCAGATCGATAAAAACGCATTGGTCATTTAATATACATGTAATTCACTGACTCAGTAAAATTACACGTAACAGCAAGCTCGCTTACTCGGCCAGCGAGCATGTGACGTTTCAAGTTTCACTGCTGTGCATTTGATATTATATAATCAGCTGTATAATAATATATGGGCTCGTGGGCGCGTGAGACGGGGCAGGTGAACTGTGTACATATCTATGTAGAACGCACCTATCACTGTCGTGGCACGGGTCACAGGATATCTCAGCCACAGTCAATGCTTTGCTGCGGATTTCTCCTCTGGGACGCCCCACACAAGCTCGTCATGCTTCGTCCGCAATCGGTACAGTGAAGTGGTGGCGAAACTCTCATGACGTAGGCCTCTCGGTGTTAGCTTCCCTGTAAACACAGCTGTCAGTTTCCTACGATGCTCACGTAGAAGACACAACGTCGACGATGTTGTCGCGACTCAGGACGACGTTTAAAAGCCGTAAAGGCAGTACCATTGTTAAACCGGATTATGACAAGTTGGATACGGCTAATCTGCCGGATAAGTTTGTGTATTCAAGGCCAAGGTTTTTAAACATTGATGATTCCCTGGGATCGGATCACTCTGTCAGGGCGATCCTCACCCCCCTCGACTTGACAGCCCTACCCTGGAGCAGTGGATATGCTGAGTAAGTATTGGGAGAGTTGACACGGTGTTCTGCTACTAGTTTTATTATGTACAGCTGTGAGACATGGTCAGGAAAGGGGCGTGGTTGTTTCAGCCCTTCCACCACCAGTGTTGAACACTACTTCCGTGTTTTGCAGCGTTTCTAATGTTTCACGGTAAAGTATGAAACGAACAAGTTGGTAACAGTTGTGCAGTTAAGGATAAATCAATATTGTATTGCGTTGCGGGTATTGAAAATAAGAGTCATAATAATAGTTTATTGAGAGACAGGTCAGACAACTGTTAATATTGTACAAGATAGACGACAGCTTACAAATTAAGTTGATTTTAACAAATAATGCAGTTGTTTGTTGTACTATTAGAACTCGCTGTATGATTTAATGTTTAAAACAACAACAACAACAAAAATACGTTCAACAATGTGTCGTAAGCAGCTACCGGGATGTACTTTTCAGTAATTTTCTTTTAGTGCACGCACGCACGCACGCATGCACGCACGCACGCACGCACGCACACGCACACGCACACACACACCGCCCAAAATACCCAGAATACAAGTTATGTATTCAGCCAAAAGTTCTTTCAGTTTCTTTTTAAACTCACGGGCGAAAGAAACGTCACCAAAATCTATCTTTCACAGGTGATTATTCATATCTGTAGTTCACACTTACATCATTCAGAAAGTTGTAAATCCATTAATTTTCCAAATATGATTGTTAAATTTCCAAAATTTGAGTTCGTTGTTTTGTGACATGTTAAAAAGCGAGGTGACGTTTCTTTCCCCGGTGAGTTTAGTTTTTTTTATCGTAAGATATCACGATAAGATGGTGACGTCATTTCCTAAACAAAACTAGATCGAATGTTTCCATGGTATAACAGATGATATGATGGTGATATATGATATACACTGTAAGATCCGTGTATGTTCAGTACAAGAGAACTGATGTTGAAGTCTCGCTAATCATCACTCTCGAGATTCGTCTTGGTGATAACAACTCACTGCATCTCACGCCTGGCTGAGTGAAGTGATAAGAGCCAGTATTCTTTTCAGGGTATAATTGAATATATGCCCACTAGAGCTGAATCACAATACCCAGGATGAGCCACCCGGTACACGGCTCCACCCTGTTGTATCCTGTACGGAGACAATTCATCGATAAAAATACACTTCAAGTTTAGCACAAAATATCGCGTGTGATTCCAATACATTTATGTTTTTCCCACGCTGTCAAATGAATGAGTAATCTACATGATAATGAGCGAGTGAGTGAGTTTAGTTTTACGCCACTTTTAGCAATATTACAGCAATATCACGGCGGCTGGGCACCAGAAATGGACTTCTCACATTATACCTATCTGGGGAATCGAACCCGGGTCTTCAGCGTGACGAGCGAACGCTTTAACCACTAGGCTATCCGTATAACGAATAAGTGGGGTTCGTTATAACCGTAGTTTACTCTATGTCTATAACGAATTAGTGGTCCTTTGGGGTTCTTTATAACCGTAGTTTACTCTATGTCTATAACGAATTAGTGGTCCTTTGGGGTTCGTTATACCCGTAGTTTACTCTATGTCTATAACGATTTAGTGGGGTTCGTTATAACCGTAGTTTACTCTGTGTCTATTTCAGTAGCATTTAACTAAAGTTCACCACAAACGTATGTTAATCCAAATAACGTTTTAAAAGTAACGAACGATGTTTGTTTAAGATTCTGAGGGTGGATTGTGACATTATTCGACCTGATAGTTCGTCAGTTTTGTTTGTTTGTTTGTTTAATGTTTAAAGGCGCACTCAGCAATATTCCAGCTATAGGGCGCGGTCAGTAAATAATCGAGTCTGGACCAGAAGATCCAGTGATCAACAGCATGAGCATCGATCAACGCAATTGGAATGCGATGGCATGTGTCAACCAAGTCAGCGAGCCTGACCACCCGATCCCGTTAGTCACCTCTTACGACAAGCATGGGTTACTGAAGATCAGTTCTAACCCGGATCTTCAGTGATGACGTACCAGGAGTGAACTGCTGGTGGTCACAAAAGTCAGCCATGTTTTCTCACATCGCTTCCTCTTTGCTCGTGCTTTCACCACTTGTTTATGTAGTGTAGGTGATGTAGCTAGAATAGCTTTAAGTGCGGCGTTACACAACATTCATTCACTGGACAACGACGATAGTTGCTCATGGTATCAAACACTGGTTTTGCCAATGAATCTCGGTAACAGGCCATGGTGAAATGCATCTGGAATGTTGCTGACGAAGGCGTGCATCTAGTCTGTTCTGGCGACTCATAACCCATGACAATACCTTTCAAAATATGTAACCCCAAGAAATGTAAAATTAATTATATAATCACATATATTAATTATAATCACAGTGAGTATAATAATTAAGGATCATGTGAATGAAATGTCACATTTCTATGACGACAGAACCAAGAGGCATTAAAAGATGGTATTTGTTGTTGCCCCGCCTGGCGGTCGGCGTTAAGGGATAAAACATGGACTCAGTATAAAGTCCGATTCAGTATAGAGTGTCTAAGCGGGGTATCCGTTTAAAAACTGAGGCATTCTATCTCTTGCGCTATAAAATCGTTAAATATTCTGGACCAATACACGAAGCCACATATGCACGTCCCATTTAAGTGTAATTTCTTTGAACGCTTCCCCGTCCCTTTATATTTGTTTGTTTGATGTTTAACGCCGCATACAGCGATATTCCAGCTATATGGCGGAGGTCTGTAATTAATCGGGTTTGGACCAGACAATCCAGTGACTGACATCATGAGCATCGATGTACACAACTGATCTGAAAGAACCTATGCTTGTCGTAAAGGTGACTAAACGGTCAGACTCGCTGACCTCGTTGACGCATGGCATCGTATCCCGATTGCGTAAATCGATGCTCATATTGTAGATAGATGGATGGATGGATGGATGGATGGAAATCGATGGAACAATGCCGAGCGGTGTCAAAGAACAATAGTGGTTAAAGCGGTGTCACGCTGAAGAACAAAGAGAAAAATAGATAATCCAGTGATGAACCGCCGTGATGTTGCTGGAATATGAAACCAAATCTCAGTCAGTCAGTCAGTCAGTCAGTCAAAGAACAAAGAAGGAAAAGATAATCCAGTTGAACAGCATATGGATATGACTTGAATAGCAAGTTCTATGGATAGTCATTTTCTTTATTGCAATGAGTGCAAATCGTTTCGGTTTAGGTACTAACACCGTTATCGCTTGCATAACGTCGCGAAACGTCGCACTCATTAAAGAAGTTGACTATCCATAGAACTTGGTTTTCCTTTCATCTATACAACTTCTAAAATGCCTCTCAAAGAAGTTATCTAATGACTTGTTTGATGTATGTCATCGTATCTCAGTTTCGTGGATTGATGCTCATGTTGTTGATCACTGGATTGTATGGTCCAGACTTGAGTATTTACAGACCCCTGCCATATAGCTGGAATATTGCTGAGTGCGGCGTAAACAACAAACAAAGAAAGTTGTAAACGTCTGAGACCTCCATTGCTTGAATCTTTCCTGCAACATCATCCTAACTCGCCGTGATACAGAAATAAAAGATAACTCACCCATTCAATGTGAAATGTCACTTAACATTTTCCCTTGCAGGTGCGTGAATGGCGGCAAGTCGCGGTATAACGAGGACCAGGCGGCTGCAAGTCAGTTCTACTTATCGTGCGGGCACCACACTTCAAACGGTTCCGTAACAAACAACAATAGGCCTAAATCCCCAAACTCGCAGGTAGGGAAATATAAGAACTAGCTCCTAGATTACCTGGTGTTGATTGCGAGGTTAGAGATTATGACACGCTGTACAGGTATTTAACGATTGTGGACCATACCTGTTATTAGCGGTATAGCGATGTACTGGTTGGCTGGTTGTTGAACGCCTAGCTCAGCAATATTCCAGCTTTATGGCGGCGTCTGTAAATAATCGAGTCTGGACCAGACAATCCAGAGATCAACATCATGAGCATCGATCTACGCAATTGGGATACAATGACATCTGTCACGAAATCAGCGATCCCGACCACCGATCCGTTAAGTTGCCTTTTACGACAAGCATGGGTTGCTGGAAATCCATTGTGTAGATCGATGCTAAATCACTGGATTGTCTGGTCCAGACTCAATTATTTACACACCACCTTTGTAAAGCTGGAATATTGCTGAGTTCAGCGTTAAACAGCCTATATATGTTTCGTCACGCGGTACATATTAGAGACGCTATTATATTTTCTACCCCATGTCTTGATTTAGAAGTCGATTTGTCAACTACTGTCTGAAAACTCATCAAGACATATGGTCCACATGATCTTCCGTCAGTTTCACAGTGTAAGCCAAACATTTCCCTTGGTCAGTATGACATGGTTTCAGGATCATGTGAGCACTTCCGGGGTCGCATTAAAGTCGTACAGTCATTACAGCGAAAACCCCTTCCATGTGGCAAATGATTTACAAAAACTTAAAATACCATCATTTATCAGACCATAATCTTGCATGATTTAAAAGTGTATTATAACTTAACAAGTCGGATGGAGTGATGTTTTTAAAATATGATCCCATGAAAATTCACTAGCCAGTCGGGCCAGTGATTGTGGAGATTTACTGGCCTGACTGGATTTTTACTAGCCACGGGCTTGCGGGCCAGTGGCTATTTCGCACACTGGTAGCAAGGTACTTTGGCTTGTCCAGACAGACCATCCCTGCTTTATGGGCACGGTACACACGACTCAAAGTGTTCATGACAGGCAACGGTCGGGTCGCCCCAACGCAACCAGTGTCGCTCTTGACCGATATGTCTGGGTGTCATCTCCGAACTCGAACCTCAAGACCACAACCACAGCAACACAAATCTCCGGACTACTGCAGTGTTTCCGACCAGACAGTTCGTATAATCGGCTGAGGGGGCTAGAAGTTTAATGAGTTTCGTTTTCTCCCGCTGATCGTTGGTTGGTTGTTTTGTTGGTTTACGCCGCATTCAGCAATAATCCGGCTATGTAACGGCGGTCTGCAAATAATCGAGTCTGGACCAGACTATCCAGTGATCAACACCATGAGCACCAATCTACGCAATTACGATACGATTACATCTCCCGCTGATGGACGCACATGAGTCTATAGTCTCCAGACTGCCAGCAGCAAGTCGATCGTTTTGGTGGTGACAGTGTAATGATGTGGGCATTGACCATCATAGTGGTACGGCGGCTCTCCTGCATGTTCGACCGCCTCCGTGGTGTAGTGGTTAGAGCGTCCGCCCGGAGAGCGGAAGGTCGCGGGTTCGATCCCCGACCGCGTCATACGAAAAGACGTTAAAATATGGTACTTGTTTGTCCCTGCCTGGCGCTCGGCATTAATGGGTACAAGAAGGACTGGTCGGCTCGGAGTCAGTATAATGTGTCTGAGTTGGGAATTCATGCTTCACTGCGGCATGGTATCTCAGTGAGCTAGCACTATAAAACCAGCTTAAGTCTAGGCTAGTACAAGCAGCCACACATACACACGCATGCACGTCGTCATATGAGCGAAATATTCGTAAGTGCGATGTTAAACCCCATGTCACCTCACCTCATCTTCTGCATGTTCATGCTGGAACAGTCCATCGTTGACGTTCATGTGCGTCATTTCGCGTCATGTGCGTCATGTGCGTCATTCTGTTCCAGCGTGACGTCAGACCTGGCTCTATTCTCGAAACATTCGTAGCCCTACAAACTTCTTAAGCCCATCCTTAATACATTGGCTACGATCAAAGTTAAGAATTCTTAGGGCTACGAACGTTTCGAGAATAAGGCCACAGATGTTGCACGTGTTTGCCAGGATTACCGTTCGCCGGAATTGTTCCCAGTTGTACATCCATGGGATGCACTGGATCAACGCGTGCGCTGGAAAAATCCATCACCCCAGACATTTCCGCAACTTCTTGCGGCACTGCAGGATACGTGACAGAACATTTCACAACGTATTGTGCAACGTTTGATAGCTTCCATGCGTCACCGCTGTAAAGCTGACATCAGGGTCCTGATATGCATAACTGATACTGACACTTTGCCCACCCCTCACATGCCTGTGCACTGTTTCAGGCTTTTTACCAGACTGAGTGAGTTTAGTTTTACGCCGCTTTTAGCAATATTCCAGCAACATCACGGCGGGTGACACCAGAAATGGGCTTCACACGTTGTACCCATGTGGGGAATCGAACCCGGATCTTCGGCGTGACGAGCGAACGCTTTAACCACTACGGTTTACCAGAGATACTGCTTTGAGCATGTCTAGTTATCCCCTTCCTATACTGTCTGATCTTCTATTGCTTGTCTAACAGTTTTGTTATTATACTTTGAAAGTCAACGTCAAGTTTCATTTTTCGAAGAGTATATATCCGTAAAGATTGCAATGGTTATATGAGTAAAATAGTGAGAAATACGTCGTTAGTCAAGTATGCAAATCTAGTCACGATTCCCATTTCCTTGTGTCTGTATACAGTAAACGTTATTGTTTGTTTGTTTCTTTATTTGTTTGTTTCCTTCCTTGTATGTAATATAAATTATTTCTGTTTCTGTAATTGCACCACATTTGTACTTATTTACATCAACATCAAAGAGCCACGTGCAACGTCGCTTTTATAACCGTAAACGGATATAGAATTGTACTTGCTTTTCAAGTTTGCAAGAGTATTCTTAAATATGTTGGGCTCTTTTGAAGTTTGTTTATTAGAACAAAGAATGTTAGTTCGCCGAAACTTTTAAATACACAGGTGTAATAACAGGTGCCATTATTCGTTTTTAAATACTTAAATGTTCTTGATCAAACGGCGCAGTGTTCATTTTCATATGTAAACAATTTTGTTTCGCATATTTATTTGTGGTTTCACATAATAGATATTGTCTCGAGGTTCAGCCATTAAAGCTACACGTTTTCGAAGTGTGTTATTAAGTCACTTGCTGTTTATCGTAAGTGCGTCATTATGAATTTTATCGTCCCATTGACACCCTGAAAGCAAGGGTCACTCATCTATTTCGCATTAATTTCAATGACGGTTTTGTGCCGGTATGAGTGGAGCTGGATATGAAGTTTGGGGGCATTTGGTCTAAACACACGACACATGTGTTACTGAAGGGGCACGATTGGCCTTGACGTCTATATCGCTGCATTTCGCCGTTGCACCTCCAGGGCGTGCCAAACACCCATGACTGTAAGTTCGAATCTCGGTTCGGTCCGAGTATTTTTCGAGATTTGTCAGCATCATGCTCGTGATCGTAGGTTTCACCAATGAGTGAGTGAGGGAGTTAAGTTTTACGCCACACTCATCAATATTCCAGCTATATGACGGTGGACTGTAAATAAACGAGTCTGGAACAGACAATCCAGTGATCAACAGCATGAGCATCGATTTTGCAACTGGGATACGATGACATGAGTCAACCAAGCCTGACCACTCGATCCCGTTTGTCGCCTTCACTGGTTGGGTTTCATCAGAGTGGTCCAGCATCACCTCAGTTTCTTCTCGCACAGTGAGATGATTATATAACTGGTGTGAGTGAGTGAGTTGGGTTTTACGCCGCTTTAGCAATATTCCAGCAATATCACGGCGAGGGACACCAGAAATGGTCTTCACACATTGTACCCATGTAGGGAATCGAACCCGGGTCTTCGGCGCCACGAGCGAACGCTTTAACCTCTAGGCTACCCCACATCGCCTATATAACAGGAACACTATCCAATGACTCGTTAAGCCAAACACGCTGTTTCCTCCTGTCTGTTTAGGGGCGGTGGGGTAACCTAGTGGTTAAAGCGTTCGCTCGTGGCGCCGAAGACCGGGTTCGATTTCCCACATGGCTGCAATGTGTGAAGCCCGTTTCTGGTGTCCCCCGCCTTGATAATACTGGAATATTGCTAAATGCGGCGTAAAGCCATACTCACTCACTCCTGTCTGTTTAGCTGGAGTGTTAATGTATCGGCAGTGTCTGTTCTGTATTGAGTGTATGCAGTGTCGGCGATATACGCAGTGTCAGTTTCTGTAGTGTCGTTGTACGAAGTGTCCTTGTGTGCAGTGTTACGGTGTGAAGTGAACGAGGCCTTATCCTATGATATGTACATACTTCCCAAGTCACGCTGTCTGTGGAGGCATCTGCGAGCATCGTGGTTAAAGTGTTCGCTCATCCCGTGAATACCCGAGTTCGATCCTGACATCGCTGCCTATATCCTAGCCGTCACGTCTACGTTCGCGACATGCACGCACATGGGGCGAGATTCCTTGTAAGCGTTCGCTCGTCACGCTGAAGAGCCGGGTTCGATTCCCCACATGGTTGCAATGTGTAGAGGACATTTCTCAATGTTAAACGCCGTGATATTGCTAGAATATTACTTAACTCACTCACTCACTTTACTCATTCTCCCATTGAAGAGGCCCGGAAATTAAGGACGTTTGTATAATTTCCTATAGTTTCTGCTGAAGAGGTATAATTTCCTGTAGTTTCTGCTGAAGGGGTAATAATTTAATTTATTTATCAATACCTGTAACAAGTCATAGTCAGCAGTAGTAGAATAGTTCTATCGTCAAGGAAACAGACTGAAACAAGGAAAGAATTTTTATAAATAAGAACCCTTGAGAAACCAACCAAATAAAAGATATTGATAAATAAATATTGTTTTGAAATCATATGAATTCAAATAAAAATTTAACAAAAGCTTTTAACACAATACTATGGTAGTGTAAAGTTGACATAATCAGGTGCATTTGGTAACTGA